AGCTGGTGACGTTCCAAAAAATAGGCAATAGCAGGAACAAGCTTCTGTTGGGATCAATGAGTGTGTGAAATTTTAAGCCCGATTAATTTCAGAATTGGCAGTGCAGCGGCAGACATGGCAACCTGACTGAACTCACCCTCTGTACATCTTCTTTTCATTGACTTCGTGTAGTACGCAAACAAATTACTACCCTTCAACTATATGATGAAGCAAGTAATGGAGCACTTTTCTCTCTCTCTATATGTAGCCCTGCTTTTTCCTACCTTTGCACATTTAAGACTGAACAACCATGCGAGATAAAATTTATGGTCAAATTTTAAATCAAGGGAAGGTCAAACAAGGGTGGCAAAATAAATCAGTTCCAATTTCTATAGCTAATTAAAGTTCTACGATGCCGCCTGAGTTTGGCAACTGAATCCCTGACTACCAATCTTTGAAGTGTATGCTTATATACAATTTCTAATCTTCAATTAGAAAAGTAACATATAATATTCACATATATGTCGACTCATTTTCCTAAAGCATAATGTTTGTAGGAACCTGGCAACAACCTTCTGAGAAGAAGAAGAATGTTATGGTACTTAAGAGTAAATACTTAAGCGAGGGATGGACACAGAAAGTCATATCTAGACCCATAAAAAGTAATAAAAATATTTTCATCAACCTCCTCGGCTCCCCCATCAGCACTTGTCTCTAGCTGATTAGAGTTTAGCCACAACGTTGAAATAACTCTCTGAAGTTCACCAGCAGAATTGTAGACATCTTGGAAGCATAAGCTTTTAGCTTCCCTTCAGTTGGCAAACATATACGCACACTCGTCTTCTTGTAGCATAATGCCATAAATTCAAGCACTTACCTTCTTTTCTACCCCCTCCATCCACTTCCACTACTCATAAATACACATGGTTGAGGGCAATTTCCAATTAGAAAAATCTGTAAGGTAAATACATAGCCGAACAAATCCGAGAACAAAAATGTAAGATCAAACTAACGCTATCAATGCTTGTATTTAAAATTCACTTGGACCACATATCGCATCCTAATCTGATCCACATTGTAGACTATGTACTCATTGTACAACAAAGAACCCTGCAAAATGTTTTCAAATTAGATTTCAACAATAAATCTTGGAGGAAAAAAAACAACAGTTATAGTACAGAGATTAACAGTCATATGTGCTAATATGTCTATGAGTCGGTGAGTGCTTTGTATGCACACAACATAATTTGTACTACCTTTGAGCCTCGTTGCTGTTTGGGTTTCCCAAGGGGAACAACAACACCATCCTCCAGTACCTTAGCATCTGAAATATCCGGAGCAGTTCCACCAACTCCTTTCGTGCTGCAATAATTAAGTTTAGACTATATTAACTTTGCATTAATCTCCCAAGTATGAGACGAAAAAATAATTCACATCAACCATGTTCTAGTGGAATGCAATAGAACTCTGTTGTAAAAGGGAAGAGAATGACACTAATTATAAATGGCAATGTCGCTTCACAGACTGTCATACAAACTGCAACTTCAAATTTATGCTGGCAGAACATTTCACCTTGATGACTAAAAAGCATGGACTAGAATCTGGTAGAAATTTGAATGTTTTAAGGCATGTAGATCCTATGGATGGGTAAAGAGACGAGTCTCATCAGTCGTGCAGATGCAACACCTAACAGTTCCATCATGCAATTTTATTTCATCTCTTCAATATAACTATATACACATAGAGCAACCAGATAAGCAGGAAGAAAACTTTCAAATACAACACAAAAACAAAACAGACCTTAGCTTCCCCGATGGCAACTTATCAGCATCATATTTTGCCTGTAATAGCTCAGCCATGTCTCCAAGAGCAACCTAAAAATACATGATCCAACAGTTCTATGAGAATGTTCAATTATTCAAAAGAAATAGATGCAGTCAGAACAGGGATCATAGAAGTTTTATTTGTAAATTTGACTAGCCTTACAATTGTGCTATTGTCTTAGGCGTTATCTAGTTTACAATTATTCCAAAGCTCATTGCAAATAGGATTTTTTTATGTTTATTTTTAGTAGAGATTATATTACCTAAAATGTTTTAGGACTCTTTAAGGGGTTCTGATGTGCAGATATAAGCACACATTTTCTATTTATTTGGAGGCTATTTTAATAAATGAAAACATTTTGTTTTAGATTTCTCTATGCTTGTGAATTTCAAGAATGCTAGTTTCTTGTGAATTCAAGAAGCAGACCACTGGTTGAGAAATGTCTACATGTTGAGCAAGAATAGTCTGTTCTACAACATCTGTATACATCTGATCTGATCTAGCCACTAGAAGTTGTTTTTTAATCCGATCACATTCTAAGGTGGCTTTCTAACATAACCATACCTCACACAGAAGCAGCACACCAGCAGGAGCAGCACTAGTTGCATAGCAATAATTGGCACTTTTGGAGAACATATCAGCAAAGTAAACTCCCTTTCCAAACATGTAACCAGTTACTGGTGCTTCAGGGGGAGCAATACGCAAGCCTGGTGGTTTTCAAGGCAGAAGTTGCACTTTGCAGTTATTGACAGGAAATTCATAGGACACCCATGCATGGACACAATTACAGCGGATGCAATAGCACAGCATATACAATCAGATATTCAGAAAAACAAAAGCACGAAAGGATGACCTTGGGATAGAATGCCAATCCAGTTTGTGAGGCGCGAGCCGTGCCATAAAAGCATTCTATTTTCTGTATTAGAGAACTGCTCACAAAAGTTAAATGACATTATTTTACAACAGCTTAAAAATTGCTTGCAGGAGTGAAAGTGAACCAACTATGAACATTTTCTAATTGTTAGATGTCCAGAACAACAACACTTCATGCACACATGCGTCTCTTTAACGATCATGTAATCTTAAGCTTACAACCACGACAGCACAAATTCAAGTTTTGAGAATAGATATTTCAAGAAAATTGCTACAGAGTAAATTGTCTGTATATTCTCCCTCCAAAGACAATACTTTGGTAATGGGTAGCTTTTTCTTATCCAAAAAGACCAGATTATTTGATGATGGTGACGACTTATCTGACTAGAAAATGCATTGTTACCTTTTTGAAGCGTTCATTTTCACCATCTCTCGAGACCCTGAATATTTGAGCGATATTAACAGTGTACTGAGAATGTGTTTTTGCATGTGTATTCTGCAAATACATGGCAATCTTGCCATGGATAGGACATGTCAGTTATCAAGCAAAATGTTAAAGAATTTTTTTTTTTTAAAAAGGCACAACACAATGCTTTTATTGCAATTTTAGGGTGGATTTTTTAGATAGAGTAATCAAAAGGGGATTGAAAATGACTCCAGATGCCACTCCTGCACCTCAATCGTCTCTCCCTCCGCCACTCCCCCCCCCCCCCACCCCCACCCCAAAAAAAAAAAAAAAACAACAACAGCTAAACAAAAAAATGGAAGAGCTTAAGTTGGTTAAATTCTAAAATTGTGTTACTGAGAAATACCATGTAAAATTCCTTAGAATCAACTTCAACTGGAGTCAATTCACAATGTAGCCGGTTGTAATGAGAATACAAGGGATCTTCCTACAAAAAATCATACAAACTTTGCATCAGAATAGAGCATTGTGTGCTAGTATTAAACAAAAGAGAGAAGAAGATAGTGAGCAACTCATGAATACACCACTTGCAACATCAGAAAGAAAACGGTGATTTCATAAAAAAAGAAGAAGAAAGAAATGGTGAAATATGATGTGATACAATTCATAAATGGAGGTAGCTTTTGTTTTCTTGAATTTTTTTGAAAAAGAAATATATCAGAAGAAACATGAACAGGCAAACAAAATCCAGCAGCACGTCGATTTTGAAGTCCTGTGAATGATAATGAACCACAGTAATTGAGTGGCTAGAGCAAGTTTGGATCATTTTCTATTTGCATCTATAGATTGTTATTATAAACTAAAAAAGGCAATAAGTTTGGATAGTTCTATTTTCATATATTAATAAGATTATTATTAAATACAAATTGAGATTCAGAACATTTTGCAAAACGCAAAGAATTTACAGGAACTAAGAACCTAAAAGATACCTGCATTCCAGGTTCATCCTCCAACAACTTTGTTGCAACTTCAATCTCACTTAGCGATTCTACCTGCAATTATGAACAGGGAGCTGAGGAGTCCTCTTATAATTTAATGAAATAAAACCAATTTCCATACAAAACCTCACCAATAGGCTTTAGTCAAGATAATATATCTATAAGCATGATAGATGGTATCACTATCACGAAAATCCTTTAAGATTAATACCAAGGAAGACAGTAGGTAGAATATCTTATCAGCAGACTGCAGGTATACTAACAAACCTAACTGACTTGATGTTAAAAGCAACAACAGATATTTGAGGAAAAAGAAAAGAAATTACCATTTCCAGCTTGCATTTTAACTTCTGAGGAGTATCAATAACAAACTCTCCTGCCATAATCAATTTATCCTACTACTGAGAACTACTTTTTTAGAAAATAAGATAAAGAACACCAATCTATGGTTTAATAACAATTCTCTAAAGAAAGAGAGAGACTCACTCATTTTTTTAAATCCAAAATCATGAGGAATGACAGTGTAAAATTCTCTGCAATAAATTAAACAAAAAAATCAAACTTTCCTAAACTTCTTCCAAGCCAGAGTCCAGTGTCTTAACAAAAAAACAGAATTAAAGGAAAAATACACAGTGAAAGATGCAGCCCATGTGCTTGTACTTACCCACTTAGTTGTTCAAGTTTTAATCTATCTGCTGTCCCAATTACATCAGAAATCCTCTTCAGAACATCATAACCCTAAATAAATTTAAAGAAAATTTAATTGATTAGATATTCCATGGAACATTGAAGAAAAAGAAAAGATACCATATTATGCATCATACAATTGAAAACCTCAAAACACAGTAGCCAGTAACTGCATTGACTTCATCCTTGGTTCATCAGATTCTGATACACAATAGCTAGGCAGGACCAAAAATAAACAAATTGAAGCCAACTAACTATGAGTTTGATACGAACCTAAGCCCAGTGACAAGCCCAAGCCCAGTGACTCCCTATCCAATGGTTTATTCCAGAAGAAAGGCAAAAAGGAATCTGAAGGCCAACCATTAGTGGCTGCAGCAAATTAATTACGAGTTAGTTGTTTGGTGTCGTTGTCGTTAGTAGGGGGAAATTGGTGTGCGTATGGTGTGTGTTTGTGTCTGTTGTGCTGAGCTGGCCTTTTCTGTTATGGCAGCAGCTGTGAATAAAAGAGAGAGAGGTGGGGAATATGAGGGCATTCAGAAAAGTAGGGAATTGGTAGGAAGTAGACGTTTTCGTCTGAGGAGAGAAAAGGGACCTCTCGAATCGTCCTCCATTATGTACTGCCATTGTTATTCGATTTAATACAACATTCCCACTTGCCTCCAATCTCTACTGTATTTACTTCTTCCACCATTCGCACTTCTCTGCTTTCTACTATTCAAACAACAGTCTCTATCAGAGTTTTAGTTATTCGTCTTATCCAGCACTCTTAACTCCCAAACAAGAAATGTTATTCCCAGAGAATGCATCTATATTATCTTCAATACTCATATTACTAGAAATAAGAGCTCTGAAAACAGAGTGGAAAAAAGGCTTTGCATCATAAGAAAAATTTACACCCCATGCTGCTCTTAACATCTAAAGCGGGACAGACCAAAATTAGTTTTAAGTTCATTCATCAATTAAAAGTATTTGTAGTTCTTGTGACTGTGATATCATTCTCTGTATTAGTAACTTAAAGCATGTCTTCTACATAGTTAATCATTGCAATGGTATTTTAAAATTATGAGCACTAACTAGCAGATTCTGTTAAAAGCATCATGAAATCAAACGCATAACAATGATTATCTCCATCCATGGAGCAAAAACTTACCTTTAATATAGTTAACTTGCTTAGCTTACCAAGTGGCAATTTATTAGCATTGTATCCTGAAAGATAAGACAGATAAGATATATTAGTGACCTCCCAGGTGACCATTAATTAACTAAAGGAAAAGGCATATAGAATCGAAGTAATAAACTCAAGAGTAAAAGAACCACCAATGAAGTACTACCAATGTCTAAAAATTTAAACAAACAAATTGAGCATCTGGTTTACTTTTGGATTTTAGTGAAAGGTAGAATAACCCACCTATTTCCATCATTTGCTGCTTCATCATACTAACATTGCATATAAGAGAGACAAATTTGGCAACACGTGACTCAAGTTGCGTCTCCCGAGGTTGAATTGCTATAGCAGAGTTGGGCTTTTCTTTAACCTGAAAACAGAACAATAGTATCTCAAAAGCAGTGGACTACATGGCATGCAAAGTTTAATTATTAGGGTGAAATCTGGAGCGCCCTTGTTTCACCCACTCAACATCCTCGCTAAATTTGACACCCCTCTCTGCCAAAGAACTCAAGAAACCAAGATTGATTATTATAGCAAACAAAATTCAGATTGCCTTTCCACTAATAAGGATTGTCTTGTTTTCCCGTTACACATTTTCTTACTCTTCTCTATTGCCACCCGTTTTCCTTATGAGGAAGAGGGTTGCTTAATTTAATGTTGTAATCATCAAAATACATAACTCATGCACTTAGCTGAAAAGAGGTAGATATAGAGTATGGATGAAACTCACAGCTGCAGGTTCTTTTTCCTGATCACTGTAGTCCATTTCCAACCAAGCGTAGCACTTCGGGTAACATTTGAACTCCTTTCGCTCAGACCAACAGTTCTTTGTCTTGGCGTAGAACTTCTGTTCAAACTCAGAAACAGCAGGATCTCGTGAAGTGTAGGGACCAAATAGCTTATCTTGACCCTTCACCCCAACCCTACCCCATCTATTATAGACCATAAATCTGCCACCATCATCAGATTCTGGGAACAGATTTTCATTGAAAAGAAAAGGGAAAAAGGAGTAGATATTAGCAAAACCAGCACAAATCGTCTGAAATTAATTAATGTTACTGTAACGTATATCATTTTCTGCTTGTGGAACACTAATCCATGCAACTCAAGATTTGGACAAGCATATTCCCGTACTATTTTCCATCGCATACGCCATTAAAAAAAAAAAAACAGTAAAAAAGGAGCTCCTTAAAAGTTAATTCACTTAAGTAGAACACGAGAGCTAATTTGGGAGGATTGTCAGTTATAGCAAATCTAATGTTCCTCGAAAAATTAAGGTATGGCAATTTAAACAGCCACATGGGCAGAAGTGAAAGCTTGCCTAGAAGTTGAATCACATAGAACTTGTTATTGTTGTCCCCAACATTTGTTTGATTCAGCATTGCATCATAAACATCATCACCCTGCATCACCCCCCAAAAAGAAGAGAAAAAAACGAGAGAAGCTCGATTCATTGCTGGCACAACACTAACAAAATCATCGAAACCAAAGATACTTAACGCGCAGTCGCACACAACTGCAATTAAATGATCCTAGAAAAAACTGCTACAAGACTCACTATTTGCAAAACATGATACTCTGACTTCATCTGATCAGAAAGGTACTGATCTAGCACCGCTGAGCCCTTTCTCGTTGCAGTTACAATTTTCTCCTTTTCCTTTTCACCTTGTTCTTGCTCTTCTTCTTCTATTGCTGGCACCACAATCATTTAAAAAAAAAATTATTTTTCCTATTTCACAAAACAGAAATTAATAAAAAAAAACCCATTCAATTTAGACCCACATACACACATAATCAATGTCAATTTCCAGAAACAAATAATGTTGGCCTCTAATAACTCCTAATAAAACCCAGTAATAAATAAATAAACAATGTGAAGTTTTGAGTAGTACGTTGAAGTGAATGGTGATTGTCTGGTTCAGCGTTACAGAGCCTGTCAAGTAATTTATTCTTGGTTCCGGCAGTGGAAACTCCCAGAAGCCTGGCCTGTTCTCGTAATTGCTTGACATTCATGTCCCGAAACTTGTCAGTAGCCTTGATTTTCTCTGGTCCATTATTAGAATCTTCTCCTCCATCTTCAGACTCCCTTTCTCTTTTCTTGTTACCGCCTCCAACATCGATCAAGCCTGCTGCTGACTGCTTGTTTTCTTGCTTGAGTGCCGACTCCAGTCTCCGTACCTGAAAAAAAAACACAATAATTTTATACAATTTTTTCATGTATAGTTTTTGAGACGTTCAAACGGCAAAATGTAAAAACTTGAGGAGAGGATGAACCAGATAAGGCTTGGTTCCGGTGTTACTGAGTCCACGTTTTGCGAGCTCGGCCCGAAGCTCGTCAACTTTGAGCTTGTTTGCCATTTCAAAGGTAGCTGAGAGAGGGAGGAAGATTAAGAGGGGGGAGAGGAATTTTGAAGAGTTCTGGGAAGAAAGAGGGAATTTAAAGGGAGAACGTGGAGCGCACTAGGCAATGAGAAAACGTTGTCGTTTTTTAGACAAATGGAATTTTAAGGAGAATCTTTCTTAATTCTAAGAAGCTTTCAGAGCACGATAATGGCGCGACTTCTTTATCTGTTTACTTTTACTCTTGAACGAGCATGGCCCCACTGCGGTTTAGGAGCAGTTCAATTTTGCGAATGAAAAGAATATATATTTTTTAATAATTTCTCGGTAAAATATGTTATGAAAAAACAAATTAGGAAAATATTTGCATGCATTTATGTAAACAATAATAATAACCAAAAGCTACCACCCAAATATTTTACAGAAAAAAAGTAAAGCACTTCAGAAAGAATTGTTGAAAACTTATATATGCTGTATATAAAACTATCAATTCTGTTTCACTAAACAAAACTATAATAATTGATAATTTTATTTTATTTTGTTATTATGTAAATTTTTCATGAATTAAAAAAACTGCAGTATATATATATATATTATTTTTTAAGCACCAAATTTGAGATGATTTAAAAGAGATATATGCCAGGTATCTACAATACACAACCACTTAAATTTTGTCCAACATGGGATTTATACCTGAGCATTATTTTTTATACCAGGAAACAGGGATATATAGGTAATTATAAATGTACAATCGATGATCCTATGATTTGCTCAAACAAAAATAATAATCCTGGGACTGGAGGAGACGACGGTCGTGTTAAGCACATTGGATGTTGATCTTTTGAGGAACTCTTTTTCTTCTTCTTCCTTCTCCTAACAAATTGATTAAAGTTTGGTTAAAAAATCTAAGTATAAGATATATAATAGATCAAATTAAAGAAATATCCAATAAAATAGAGTTATAAAAATATTTCTACAATTAATATATTGTTATAAAAGAAATAAAAATAATAAGAGAATTGAAAAAAATGATGACAAAAAGATGATAAGAACTTTAAAGTTTCTCTCATTCTCTCTAGAAAACTTATACATTAACTAATGAACAATTAAACTTATTATTTATAGACTTCAAATTTGAGAAGGGAATTGAAAGAGATTATGAATAATCAATTGTACAACCTTTTCAATTTTTCATATTTATTGATGAATTGAATCATATTAAGAATCATGAATAGTGGGGGATATAAAAAATAGATGAACATGATGATGGACATTTATTATTTCATAACATTCTTCGTTAAATATCCATTGTATAAGGAACATGCCTCGTTAATTTT